AAAAAAAAAGGAGAATAGGTAAATTGATTTCCTTGAGCTTTTCACAACAGCGTACATGATCGTACTGGTCCTGCGCCATGTCACACGCTGCGCAGCTACCCTTATTTAACTTGTGACAATAATTAGAAACTGTAATAATTATTGAGAATAAATTCTTAATTTATAAATATACCAAAGGTCTATACATTTGTTAAACTTCTTTTGGCGGTATTTTTATTGTGCTGACTTACAAATATTTGTGCAAAATGCTTATTTACAACAAATAAAAGAGGTGTGTATAATAAATATAAATAATAAAGATATTTGTAAAGTAATACTATGCATAGTATAAATTTGGAGTACATATTAAATTTTAATTGTATAGCTAATATAAACTTTAAAATTCTATTTTTATATATAATTATTTTTAATAGTAAGAGTTAGAATGAGCACTAGTATTGTTCTTTTTCATATTGGAGTAATTAGTAAAAGTAATATAGGCCTGACAAAGCTTTTTTACAAATATTATGTACTATCTTGACTTTTACATGTCTATCCTAATTTATATTTCTGCATTGTATTACTTTACTAATATTTAGATAATAATAGTTTTAATTGCTACTAAAGAGCAGCTTTGGAAATATAGACTATATTAATTATTTTTTACAGTGCATTTACAGCCTATTTGGTAAGTTAAATTTGCAAAAAAAATATGTAATAATATCGATATTATAATATTTATATTTATATAATTTTACTTTAAAATCAATTGAGATTATATGTAATACATAATGTAGAACAATTAAATGATTATATTTTTTATTTTATAATTTTTTTTGTAAGCTTTTCTCTACATATATGACAAAGTAGTGTTTTTAATATTTTGAAGTTAAAGAACAGAATTTTTACATCAGCATATAAAAAGAAAAATGTTAATTCAAAATAAGTATTTTTGTAGTAATAATAAGCCAAATATAATACACCTTTATACTAAAAACTTGAAACTAACATTACAAATATTAAATTACCAAGGCTTCTCTAAAAACTATATTGCGCATGTAAGCTCTTTCTTTTCCTTTAATTGTTCTGTTTTCTACTAATATTTTAAGTTTATTCATTTTCATACTTTGGACATTGCTATATAATTGTCTATGAAAAAACTTGTTGGTGAATATAAAGACCGATATAAGGCAAAGTTTGGCCTTGTGACTTGTTGATTATTAAGGCAAATGCTAATCAAACAGAAAACTGCTTTCTTTCTAGTAAAAAGAGTAATTCAGCATTTTCTGATTGTAGAAGTAGAATTCTTAGAATAAAAATACATTTGCTTCGATGTTCTTCTGTTACTATTTTAGCATCAATTGTGTTTAGTTGTAGTTAGTAGCAAATAAGCCTAGTTCTATTACAGAGTTCATTGACTGGATTTAAATTCCTAAGCAACATAATAGGTACACTGACTTTAAAGCTAATTCATATAGTAGAAACCCTTGCAGCATTAAAGGATTAAGATATTTAATAAGGTACTAATTCGAGTGATTATCTAATACTGAATCGAAGCTGTAATATGTATGTTGTTATCCCAGAAATTTATATACTATTTGTTTATTAATTTCATCAACACTACTATTTAGTAGTGTTAATATAGCTCTTTCTGTAACAAAGAATGTATTTAAAGCAGTTTCTAATAAGTTTGAATAAACTGCATCTAAAAGTAGTTTAATAGAATTATCACCATTTTGTAAAGGAATAACTATCTTATCAGATAGCTAAATCAAGTTATTTTCTATCATAGATTCAGTGCAGTTTTCTATTCTGAGCAAATATTCTAAAAAAACCTTTGCCTCTTGGTTGTTATCTTGGGTCACTTATATATTAGCTGTCAATGTAAATAAACAAACATGGTCCCAAAGATATGATTTATTAAGTGCTATATTTACAATCTGAGATCTTGAACCTTTCTAAACTACAGATAACACCTGTCTGAAATCTCTTCTAAACAAAATTATTTTATTACCAAATGGAAAATTACAATCCAAAATGTTTCTAAACATTCTATTGACAGCTTCAGGGGGCATGACAATTTGCTATTGGAACCTTATTCCAAATAATAAGAGTAATTTCTTAAATTAGTCTAGCCAGTTGGTTTCTTTTTCTATACTGCAAACAGTACATTCATCTAATAAAGTAATTAGTATTTTAAAAAGAAACAGTGCATCCACCACATAATAATAACACAGCTATTTCAGAAAAAGCTACTCTAAGGTGATTTGATAGCTAGATCATACATATATGAGAAGGCAATCATAGAGATAAGTATTCTACTTCCAGCAGGCTCATCCACGAAAAGTATGCCTTTTTGGTTGCAGTTTATAAGATTTAATACTTCATTGAATATTGCATATTGGCCTTCGTTCAAAGTATTTGCCTTGGTTAGATCATTAGGAACAAATTGATAATCTAGTTCTTGTATGACCAAATCTGGTAATTCTTCATTATTAATTTTAGGCACTAACTCTGGCAGATCAAAATCACCGACAGTTTTCGAATGTCTACGCAATATTCAATTTATGCTTTGTAAAACTGATTGAACTCTGTGTTAACTATCCAGAACTCCTCTATGAGCCAAGTCCTCTACCATAGTATTGAAGTTTTTATTCCACAATTGTTGTGTATCTGAGATATTTCCAAAAATTAATAAAGTTGATAAAAAAGCTTGCATAGTTAGTTTGGCATTCCAAACACCCTGGCTTCGCTATATATTGTCAATATTCATTATCATTTTCAAGGAAACCTTGACGTTGTGCGCTCTCTTTAAATGATAAACACATAACACCATCTATAGCTTTAAGTTTATCAAAGCTTTGAACACCTTTTACTTTAGATAGCAATAAACAAAGGTAATATTGCTCACTTGAATGGTTCATTTAGTTAATATATAACACGATTTCTTAATAATGAACTTTGATTACATTACTTGCCTTCACGTGGATAAGCCATGTAAATTCTTTCAATACAACCTCACCGCTGACGTTTCTTCTATGATCTTATTGTCTTATTCCATGTATAGTATAATAGGAAGTCAGCATAAAGTATGTCTCTCGCATTCGGGTCTTGATTATTTATAGTGAAATACTCAGTAAGGGTGGTTTTCTGGTTTCGACTTGATTTCAAAAACGTTTTAGAATCAGAGTCTCAATAAGCAAATCAAAATTACAAGTCTATTCAGTCCATCGAATTGAGTCTCGAAAGGGTTTATTAAAGTTACAAGTTGAATTCAAAGACAAATTCTTAAGGGAATTTCAGATAAGTATATACTTTATTATTTAGTGTAATAAAAGTGGACATGGAACTTAATCTATCTATTAATCATAAAATAGAACTGAAAAATTCTAATCTCTACGCTTGGAATTGTAGGTCTTTAAATACATTTTAATTTTCAGGAACGTAAAAACACCATAATTATAACGTTTACACCGAAAATATAACGTAGACGTGGAAATTTGGGCATATAAACATATGTCGTGCATTAGATTAAAATTTGCGTCAGATCAAAATTTAAATGCGGAGCTTTGTTAGGGTTAGGGTGAGTGTCTATGTTAAGTATTAGCGGAATTATAATGATTCTAATCTGACGCGGATTCTAATTTGACACACAATATATACACCGTAAAAATAACGTACACATCGAAAAATCTCAAGGCACAGTCTTTGTGTAATCACGTACAGTATACGCGATTTTTTCGGTGTTTACGTGATTCATCTGATTTCCATGCAGGTCGCTAAGCCACCCATCATTACCGTTTTAGTATAAGTTATGAAATATTCAAAAGAAAATTAATAAATTTACCAAATTGGACATTGTTACCAGAATGGATGGAGAATTATTAATAGGCTATATCGATATACATGCGGATATTTCACCGAGAAAATAGAAGATTTATTTACAATAATACATAAAAAAATAAAATAAAAAATAAAGTTTTTAATTCGTTACACCACCAATCAATCATACTTGTATCCTATAAAATAGTATTTGTGCTCCGCCTCAACTTGACGACTTGGCCAAAAAAATTATTAACCAATGCCAAATCACAACATATACTTTTAGCCAACTCTAGTACACAACTATATTTGATTGAATATATGTCACTTTAACGTTAAACAGTGATTCAAAACTGCAAGCGGCGACTTCGTCGCCCGCAAATATAACATTTCTAGTTATAAATAGAAATGATCAGAGATATGCTGATGAAGATAAAAAGAGGTTATATAGTTAAACAAATTTGCTACTGTCCATTGATAATCCAAAAAGAAGACGTTTGATTATTTCTCTTTCTTTGTTGCTCATTTCAATTCTATTTAATTGTGCCCTATACACCCATTTATCCTTTTTCCATGATATCAAACCAATTAAGAGAAGACTAGGAAAATAAAAAATAGTTAAAAAACATAAAAATATTTTCTTAAGGCAACTTTTTCTATTATTAAAAATTCTGGCAAATAAATCGATTTTACTCTTAAAGCACTTTTCCATAATTGAATCATCCTTTATAGTTATCACCTGAATTCTTAAAGCATCAATATACTTTTGTAAATTTTCATATTCTTTAAATCCTTTATGAGTCCTGATTTCCGTAATCCTGTCTATAATTCCTAATAGAATTGACCCCATTTTTTTCTCTAAATCGTCTAGATCAATGTCTTCTACTTTATTTTTTTCAATGGCTAACTTAGAATACTCAGTAATTTTAATATCCATTTTATAAATTAAATCATTCAGCCAATTTTTTTGTGTTTCGATTGAAGGGATTGCTGATTTATTATCTTCAATAGATAGTTCAGATTGATTTGTATCCTTTTCGGTTTCTATTTCATGGTACAATCTAATCAAATCAATGTTATATGAATCATCCGAACCATGTGCTTTTTCAGTAGAAATAGTATTAAAAATAGCTTGCAAATTTGAAAACGGTGAAATTAATTTTTCCATGGTAAGCACATAATCTTCATCATATTTATGATCTAAATCACTAATTAATCCTATTGCATGTAATGACTTTCTCATATAACTATGGTCTATAGTATCAGGAATATATATTGTTTTAGAATGTTTAATAGGTCTGAATTTTATAATTCCACCAGCATCATCAGTAATAGTGTTCATATAAGAATTTATAGTCACTAACAAATAAAGTATGTTTTTTTGATAACTATTCAAGATTTGATCGTTATCTTTTGACGGTTTCTCCTTATCCTTAAAATTTTCTGTCACCAGTTTTCTTTGCAATATAGTAATCTCACATGCTATTAGTATTGTGGTTACCAAAATAACGGTAATACAAAGGAATT